CTGTCGGGTTGCTCTGAGGGCGCGCGCTGGCTGACGTTGAGCTCGCATCGTCAGGACATCGAACTCTTGGCCTGCTGCACCACCACACACTCGAATCTCACGGTGGGCCCGATGATCCTCTGGTGTCACGGGCTCCGGAAGCCCCTGGAGTAAGGCCACCGTGGTAGCAATGTTCTGGCTTGCCCGGGTGAAGTGTGGGAGGGCTTCATCATCCTCGATGATCCTTTAGTTCACGTTGTGGGCCACGATGCGAGCACACCCACCGTCTCCATGGCGCTCGATCTCTCGTTCGACCTCCGCGCGTTCCTGCTCGAGCTGGAGTCGTGCTTCTTTGAGATCTTGGTGTCGTGCCCTCAGCTGCTCTACCCGTAGGTGAGGTGAGGCCCCTACATCCCCCTCGACCTCATCATCGAGGTCATCTATTGGGGTAGCCCCTCCCTCGCGGATGCTTTCAATGTATCCCTCGGGGGTACCTGGCATGAAACATTATCGCGAGGGGTGATGGCTCCCCCTACTAGAGTCAGAGTCGGAGGGCGACTCCGATTCTCCCATGAGAAGGTCATGGAAAGATTCCACGATGTATTTGGTCATCCCCACGAACTCGTTGTTCGTAGGGGGTGCGGGCATGCACTGCGCCACAAGGTGGCCAACGGTCTCTGTGGCGTTGCACAGACCGAACGGGAGTGCTGTCGGGGCGCTCCGGATGAGATATTCCGGGGAGAGCAGCTCTCCTCCGGCAAGCTACGTCATGACATTGGCGAATGAGAAGGTGAGGCGGCATAGGTCTTCTCGGGATGGTTGGGGTCATAGGAAGGCGCCGAGCTAGTGCTCTAGCCTCCTGTAATCGAAGCCGAGGAGCTGGTCACTCCCGGGGGCGTAGGCCTCTGGTGCGTGCAGCTATAGCTCCTCAAGCGCCTCGGCAATCGCATCGAGGCCTGCGGGGTGGAGAGGTTGGACGGCGATGGGAACCTGTGCCAAGTCTTCCTCCATCATAATGATGAAGTCTAGGTTCCTGAAGCGCACGTGCGTGCCCGGGACCCAACGAACGCCGTGACTAGCCATCCGAGGCCTGATGTGGACATTGAGACGTGCAAAAAGCCCCTACATAGCGCGCCAACTATCGATGTTTTTGAACCACCAATGAATAAATTTATATTTGCGTGTCTGACTCGGATGGTGTGCCCGGAGGACACAATGGTATATACTGGTTCGGGTGAAACGTCCCTACGTCCAGTTCGCTGCTGCTCGTGTTACTGACACTTGGTTTGCAGTAGGGGTTACAAACAAGCGAGAGCGGGAGAGGTTCCCAAGTCTCTAGTGGAAAGAGTGAATGGGTGCCCTGCTTTCTCTTTTATAGATGAAGGGAAAGCGTGGGTTACAGAGGAGAAAAGGTAGAAGAATGAGAGAGAGAAAAAGGCTTCCAAGGTTGCCGGGTCCTTCTTCTCCTTCATGCGGGTTCCACTGATCCTGTAGATGTCAACAGGGACGGCTTCATTCGCGGCCCTGTTCGTCACTAGAGCCATACACAGGCATCATCTGCTGATCATGGCGTTCCACTCTGTCCCGGCGGACGTCGTGGTGAACTGACGCGCCTATCAGCATCCGTACGAGGATTAGGCAGAACAGCACCGGCACGCCCGACACTATTCTTGATGTGAATCCCCAGGTATGGCCCGTCATGGCCACGGGTTACATCGAGGCATGCTAGCCTCTTCCCTAGCGTTAGAGTTTTGACCCAGGCCCATACGCTTGGACCTGGAGTGGTTGGCGGTGGTATGGGTCCCTGTCGGATGAGATAAAACCCACGTCCTCGAGGTCAGGCAGGGCGGGGCCCGTGACCTTGGGCGAGATGGAAATCGCATCCTTAGGGTTGGGTGAGACGGGGTACACACCCAAGGGGTCGGGCGAGACGGAGCCCGCGGCCTCAAGGTCGGGCAAGACGGAGCCCGCGGCCTCGAGGTTGGGCAGGACGGAGCCCGTGGCCTTGGGCGAGATGGAACCCATGTCCTTGGGGTCGGGCGAGACAGAGCCCGCACCCATGGGGTCAGACGAGAAGGAGCCCACGGCCTTGAGGTCGGGCGAGAGGAGCCCATGGCCTTGAGGTCGGGCGAGATGGAGCCCGCGGCCTTAAGGTAGGGCGAGACGGAGCCCATGGCCTTGGGGTCGAGCGAGACAGAGCCCGTAGCCTTAGGGTCAGGCGAGACGGAGCCCGCGGCCTTGGGGTTGGGCGAGACCTTTTAATACGTCTCGAGCCATCTGGGGAATTCAGCGTGGGAGCTAATTTCCTTGCTTTGGGTATCCTTAATATCGATACCCGACAAGTATCCACCTGCCCAAGCAGCAAGGTGACGTTGCGTTGCAACTGCATGTTCCCAAGTGTATGTTCTAGGTCTTTCAACTATTTCAGACGAATGTTTCATGTTGTTTATCTGGATGTTGCAAAAATACATCTAGATGTTTCATATGTTGCAATACGGATATAAAAATGTTTCATGTGTCTTAGACATATGTTGTAAGTGTTTTTTAGATGTTGCATATGTTTCACACATATGTTGCAAATGTATGTTCTAAACGTTTCAGCTATTTTAGACATATGCTGCATCAAGTATTTCATAATACAAGTGTTTCATGTTTTAGATGTATGTTTGGAGAGTCACATGGCGTGCATCTACAGGCAGGGCGTGTGGATTCCCGCGTGCATGGGCATTGTGGGCGGGGTGAGTTGTCCGGGCGACGCAGGCGGTCCCTGCCTATGCACGGGAAACAGAGCATGCGAATTCGAGCGAGTGGGCATTGCGAGCGGGAGTTGTCCGGGCGGCGCTGGTGGTCCCTGCCTACACATGGGAAACGGAGCGTGTGACATAGCAGGCACAAGCGTCCGGACACAGGCATCGGTCTGGATGTCTGGGCGCTGCTCTTGGAGGTTGATCATTAGCATGTATTATCTTCATATTCAAAACCTATGAAATATTGTAGATATTATAATGTGCTACAGCATAGCCTCTGTGTGTGCATAGGCGTGTGTACATACATGTCCTGATTGTTTGTTTTTGTCTTAATTATTGACAATGAACCCCCTAGCTATGGTAAATTCCTAGCTCTGCCGCGTCCCTTGGGATGCATCTCTTTGCACATGTTCGGTTAGAGAGTAGTTATCTAGATTCTTTAACTGCTAATAACGATGCACCACACAAGGAATCATTGGTTGTGTTTGATTTGGTGCACAAGCTAAGAGCAACTCCAAGAGACGATGTATATTTGTCTTGAAGCCAAAATTTAGATTTTTTTTAACAAAACAGGCCTCCAGGTTATGTATCCGGTCTTCCAAAATATGAAGCCATCTATCCCGTGAAATCTGCTATCCAAAGATAGCCTTCCGCGGCGGCTCGCTAATTCTCTTCCCCACGCGAAATTCTGCTCTGCGCTCCCCTTCCCGCGCCACGGGAGAATTGTTTCCCACGTGCTGCAGCACCACGCCATCTCCGTACCCTCCCTCATCCACGCAGCTGCCTTCAGACGACCCTTCACCTCCGTCCCCCATCCGTGTGGTTCCCTGCGTCCCTTGCCCCGTCCATGCGCCTTTGGACGGGCCTTCCCCGTCGGCGCGTCTCCCTCAGACGGCCGCTGCCTGGTCTGCGTGCCTCCTGATGGTCCTTCTCCATCGGCGAGGCTCCCTCAGTTGACCCTCCCCGTATGCGCCATCGCCGCAGCTAGGTACCACGTCCTTGCCCTTGTGCTCGTCGGCGTACCTAGTCTCGGACACTCGTTCCCAGCACGCGCGGCAGGCAGCAGCCCCTTCTTCGGCCCTTGCATGTCTCTAATCTGCATGTGTTTCCTCAGAAAGTCACATCCATCTGATGGGGCTCCGCCCGCCGTGCGCTGGGAAGACCCCAATTCTGCTTCTATGTACTCATTCCCTATGTTCCCGGTGGCTAGCGGGTGGGAGCAATCAGAGTCGCCGTTGTTGGCTTGGTTGGAAAATGCGAATTATTCCTCCCAATGTTGCGGCCACTACATCGGCCTCCTTCCCCAACATGAGCTCTGGTGAGTTGGACAAACCTATAAGCAATTTTTAAGTTTCTGTGTTGTGATATATGGTTTCTGAAGAATGCATGACCCGGGTTCGAAATGTGTTTGGTGTTGCCACTGAAAGGAAAGTGTTTAGATTTAAATCAATGACATGTTAGACAAAATCATAGAATTGCTTCCAGCTACTACTGTACTTGGGACAAAAACAGTCATGCACAATGCTGTTCCAATCATATTCAGAAATCTGAAATGAGCTACATGTGTCCTGAAAGCATTCAACAATTTAAGGGATCTTCTCTTGCCTCTGCAACTATATTCCCGGAAGTCATTTCGACACGGCTAATTACAAGTTAATTTGGGGCTTAGGTATTTTGATTAGTTGTTCCACAGCTAGGCAATGTTCTGAAGAGAGTATATGCAGAACAAGAGCCTTGATAGCTCTGAAAATTGCAGTGAGCTTACTTGACAAAGTTCAGTCATGGACACTCGATAGAGAAAGCAAGCCTGTAGTTCTTCTGAAGTCCTCAACTTTATGTCCATGGGAGTCCTATTCTCGCGAGGGTGAAAGCATGTATTTTGAAATTGTTGCTTATCTGGCATGCTTTAGTTTTTTCTAATTGCTGAAATCATAATTTAGGTAATGATCTTATATGTTCACAGGTGGCATCGATTCGGAAAGATCTTTCACCGACATGATTATAGGGGGTTGCACTCCTGCTGCTTTGTTTGATAATGTCGTGCGTACTAATGAAACACTAGCATGTGAGGAGGCCCCAGGAAGTGTGAAAGGGCACAAGAGGAACAAAAATTTCACCAAAGACAAGGACTTAATGTTGGTCTTAGCATCGCTAAATGTGAGTTTGGATCCGGTGCATGGAGCTGATCAACTACGTTCGACATATTGGAAAAGAATATATGATTATTTCCATTCCAACAAAACATTCGCTTCCGATCGAACGCAAAACTCCCTAATGAGCCGTTGGTCCGGTATACTGCATGATGTGAACATCTTTGCTGGTTGTGTTTCAAAGGTAGAGGGTAGAAATCAAAGTGGTTTGTTTATCGATGATAAGGTTAGATAACATACCTTGCCCATCCAATTGTATATTATGTCTGTCTACCTCATGCATTCTCTGTGTTATTTGCAGCAAGCAAACACATTGACCATGTTCACGGAAGAAGACAAGATGCACCGGAATTTCCCGTACATCCATTGCTGGAAAAAATTGAAAGACCAAGCCAAGTGGATCAATAGGAACAACCCGAGTGGAACTCAGAAACCAGCACCCAAAAAGCAAAAAACCACTATGAAATCAAGTTTTGCACAACTAGTTGTCAGTAGTAATGTTGATGATAGTCATCCTGCAGTGCCTACGTTGGATAGGCCTACAGGGAAGAAGAAGGAGAAAGACAAATTACGGTAACGTTCCAGCATCGAAGCATTGGATTATCTGTTGGCGAAAAAGAAAGATGATGATGTGGAGAAGGAATTGAAGAAACAGGAGAGGGAGTTGATGAAAGAGGAGAGGTGCCAAAAAGCCCTTGCTTTGCAGGAAGAAAGGTTAAAACTTGACCAAAAAAAGTTTGACTTCGAGCAGGATAGAGAAGAAGAAAGAATTATGAATGTTGATACGAGTACTATGTCAACCGATCAGCAACAGTTCTATGCGCACCTAAAGGCTAAAATACTTGCAAGACAGCTCAAAAATTAGGACCATCTTCTTCAATTTTTAGATTTCCAGCATAGTGTGAGACATGCCTATTTTTCTCACATTTTAGATTTCTAGAATAGTGTGACTAATGTTCTTGCATTGTCCCTTGTTATCTGAACTGATATTTGTCTTTGATGTGTACTCTGTAAAGGAGCAGTTTCCGTTGAACTATTAAAAGACAGGTAAAGTAAATTGAGTGGCGTTCTCATCTCAAAATCAGATTTATTATACTATTCATTACATCAGATAAAGAAGATAGGTCCTCAAACTAATACAAAATGCCTAGATATTGTAATAGTAAATGGAATCTTTCAACAATATAATTTTTTATATAAATCTAGAAAATTATGCCATAAGTGTTCGATAAGGTCGGCTTGAAGCGTTGTGTGTGTTTTCTTGTCCTTGATCTTCTTGTAATTCTGAATAAATTCATCAAACTCAGGTATATCATCGTGTGATATAGTCGCCTTTTCTCCCACATCATCATATCTAAAATCTTTTTCATCAACTCCTTCATCTTCAACAATCATGTTGTGCCTAATGATACAAGCTGTCATGATAAGTTGAAGCGTATTTTAATCCCACAGACGAGCTGGCCCTTGAACGACGGTAAAGCAAGATTGTAGAACTCCAAATGCTCATTCAACATCCTTCCGACAAGCTTCTTGTGCTCTTGCAAAATACTTCTTCTTATTACCCTGCGGCTCGGGTATGGTCTTCACAAATGTGGCCCACGATGGATATATACCACCTGCTAGATAATAACCCATTGTAAAATCATTTCCGTTAATGATATAATTTACCTGTGGCCCTTGACCTTCAACAAGCCTTGCAAATATAGGAGATCTTTGAAGAACATTTATATCATTGTGTGAACCTGGCATCTCAAAGAATGCATGCCAAATCCAGAGTTCTTTAGAAGCAACAACTTCTAGTATAATTGTAGGCTCCTTTTTATGTCCCACATACATACCTTGCCATGCAACAGGACAATTCTTCCAGCTCCAGTGCATACAATCAATGGAACCAAGCATGCCAGGAAAACCTCTACTCTCACCAATTACAAGTAATCTAGCAGTATCATGCTTATTAGGCAACCTCAAGTATTCAGGTCCAAATACTTGAACAACAGCTATGACAAACTTTCTAAGACTTTCTAGGGAAGTACTCTCCCCAATATGGATGTAGTCATCCATAGCATCAGCTGCTACTCCATAAGCTAACATCCGAAATGCCGCTACCACCTTCTACAAACAAAGATAGTCCTAGGGTTCCGGCTGCATTCCTCTTCTGCACGAAATAGTCATCATACTCCTCAACAGTATTCATTATATGTACAAACACATGATGCCGCATTCAAAACCTATGGCACCCGATATAAAATTAGCCACAATTGAATGCATGTGCTAAACATAATTGAACAAAATATGAGAAAATTAACCTACGCCTAAAATAGCTTGGCCCATACGTAGGATTATCTGAGAAATAATCTTCATATAGTCTGATGTGCCCCGACTGCCTATCATGATTTAAAACATGATGTCCCTCTACAGAACCATGATGGCATGCTGAATTTGCAATGTCTGACACTACGTGTGCTGCCGCAATATAAAGTTCATCGTCATCATCCGAAGACGACGAATCCATCATTTCATTCAATACATCTTCCAAATCCATTATAGACCTTTGATTAGGAGAATCCCAGGAATTTGTTCAAGCACCTACACAAGGGTTGAAAAATAAGATGTCTAGCAATTATTTCCCATGCAATGTTACAACCTCAATCTGCTCATCAGATAATGTGACCTAAATAAATATTTCAAGCAAGAATTAACACCAGAACACCATGCATAAACATCGTACATCTCAAGGTCGTCAGTGTTTGCATCTCTGTTCTAACGAAATATAAGAAACTTGTAAGGGACCGTGACGTCTAAGAGGGGGGGGGGTGAATTAGGCAACTTAAAACTCTAACTCTAAACTATGGCCTCTTTTTCTAACCTTAGCAAAACCTTTGCAAAAAGATAAACTATCTAAATGTGCAACTATGGTTTTGCTAGTGTGTTGCTATCTCTACCGCAAAAGGAGTTATGCAAACAATGTAAATGCGAAGCTAAAGAGTAAGGTAGAGATATGCAAACTCCCATCGATGACTCCGGTATTTTTACAGAGGTATCGAGAAGCACGCAAGCTTCCCCCTAGTCCTCATTGGAGCCCCTCGCAAGGAATTCCTCGCAAGGTCCAAGCTCCCGGTCGGGTAACTCCGTGGAAAGCCTCGGGCCTTCCCCACGCGCAAGTGGGTCTCCGGTGTGCCTTCCGGCAAGCCTCCCCCGGACTGCTCCCCGCTGTCTTCACTATCAAGCTTCCGGCCAAACCGCCATGGGCCTTGTTCCCTTCGGTACACGGTGGCGGCCACACCACAAACACAGTTGGTGTGATCTCACAAGACGATAAGCCCCTCTGATATACAACAATGGTGCGCGCAAGCACCGAGTGGTAAGAGGTATGCAAACCTCACTAAACACTAGGCCTAAACCTAGAGCAAGCGCATAAGCGATGGTCTAATCAACCCAAGCACTTCGCAAAGCACCTACGCTAATCACCTAATGAATCACTAAGCACTATGCAAGTGGAGATCACTAAAATGGTGTATTAACACCCTTGGTATGTTTCCTCAACTCTCCACTACTCAAATGGCCGATTGGGGGGGGTCTATTTATAAGCCCCATGAAGAAAGTAGCCGTTGAGGGCGAAACCCAGCTTTCTGTTACTGACCGGACGCTGCTGTCGTCCTGACCGGACGCGTCCGGTCATCTCGACCGTTGAGCGCGCGCATTGATCGGACTCACTGCTGAGTCCAGTCATCATCGATCGAACGCGTCCAGTCGCATTTGCGCCGCTCTGGAACCTCTCTGGACTCGATCAGACGGTGCACTTTGTGCATCCGGTCAGGCAGTGCCGCTGCGTTCTATCCTCACTGAGTTGTTGCCGCGATGATGAACGGTGAAGTTCGTGCATCCGGTCACTGCCTCGCTTAGCATCCGGTCGCTGCTACTGATGCCTGCTATTGCCGAGCAACTGATCGGACACGTCCGGTCCTCATAGGGCCGCGTCTGGTCACCTCTGTGGAGCTCGTTTTTTCACGATCTTGCGTCTGGCTTGGTTCCTATCTTTGTGCTTGGAGTTTGCTTGATATCTTGGATCCTCTCTTGTGCTTCTAGGGTCTTGCTTAAGGTGTTGATCATTGGATCTTCATGTCACCTTCGTCCAAGTCACGTTTGCACCCTATTGAACTACAAAATAATTACTTGCAAATTCATTAGTCCAATTTGGTTGTGTAGGTCATCAAACACTAAAATCCAAAGTAAATGGGCCTAGGGTCCATTTTCCTTACAATCTCCCCCTTTTTGGTGATTGATAACAACACGACCAAAGCAAGCAAATAATAAAAATATTGGAATTTAAAAACTATTTACTTGCTAGAATGCAATGCAAAGGGCAAGGTTATATGATGCTAAAAGATACCACATGTAAACATCTTTGGAAACTTATCTTGCCCTTGCCAATGTCCCCATGTGGCATTATGGATTTAAGCCTCCCACCAACTCCATAATCCACTATCCTCCCTTTCTCGGACCATTACCACTTGTAAATTATTATGATCGGGCTTACTTTTGGTCCTACAAATTCTCCCCCTTTGGAATCAAACACAAAAAATGAAGACATTAGTAGCACAACAGAGGTCAAACTTGGTGATTCTTTGTATGTGGAGTGGGATAGGTCACAAAATTTGACTCTCATATTACATAGACTAAGCTCCCCCTAAATATATGCATACATATGATGGAGAATGTAGTTTATGCATAATTGGCAAATTAATGCTCAAGGGAGTTTAATCTATATAATACATGGAGAAAGCATATAAATACCAAAGTGAAATCAACAAGATGATATCGGTTTAGAAATACCACATGTGAAAACCAATTTGATTTATACCACTTGCAATAGGTGATGGATATTTAAAGTATGATGCTTAACTCCGGGGACTCCATTTTCCTTGCAATGAGACTACTACACATATGATAAGCTTGAAAAGGTGTTAGTCTCAAAGCATTCAACTTGTAGAGTAACCTCCCCCTAAATTTGTGCACACAAGTGTGGAATACTTGTAGGAGACATGCACATTGATTTTAGCATAAAAAATACCACTTGAAAGATGACATCACTTGAATGTGAGAATCATTTTCGAAAGTGATATTCGGGAGAAATTATCTACAATTTGGACTTTGGCACATATTAGATGAACAATTGTAAAACAAGCTATGTGCCGTGCTCCTAAACAATTTAAACCATGTAGGTTTGCTCCAAGGGTTAAGAGTGAAACCGAGCAAGCCTACCACAAGATATACCTAGTGTATGCAAGACAAAAGATTAAACATACAAATGCAAACCTAGGCATGAAAAGGAACTAGATGCTAATTGAAATTGCAAGAAATTAAATCTAGTTACATAACATGGGAAGGAGAATTTGGGTCCATAGTATTCACTAACCCACTTGGCAATTACCTTGTGCATAATGATGCACCCCATGAAATGCACCCATACTTTGCCAAGTCTACAAATTCCACGATGTCCATCGGACTTCTCACTTCCCTTTCGAGATCCAAACCTTCTTGGTGCTCTTAATGTTGGAAATGATCTCCTTTGGCACC